AAAATAAAAAGATATATAATTTAGTTAATAATAATATAAAATAAAAAATGTGTAAAAAATAATATAAAAATGTGTAAATAATATAAAAAAAATGTTGAGACGCTTTTCACAAACATCGATAAATTAATGTAAATTATAAAGAGAATGAAGATCTGCGAATTTAAGAGTTAATTAAAACGAGACCTTTAGTATTTCTTAAAATGAACCACCTTTGAAATATGGAAATTTTGCGCAGATAGGCTTCACCGATGCATTCGAGCGCGAGTAACGGAAACTACAAACCGATGGTTCCTTTTGTCTCAGGGACAGAGAATGCAGCAGCCGCTTTTCTCATAATTTCTCAGAATCGGAGTGCACGGGGGTGGCCCTTTTCATCGTCTTCTATCTAAATATATATGCCGTGACCCCCGCGCGCCGGTGCTTCCGAACTTGCGATGCAAGGGGTGTGTGTTTTAAAAACAACGGACGGAAATAGACGGAGAAAAATCGAGCAGGCGCCACGACGCGACGCGATGTCGACGACCACAAGACGCGACGGGCGGTCTAGGACCTTACTCCGGGGATCGCCTTTATAGTCCTGACGCATTTTAATGCCAATGTCGATGTCCATTGACGTAACCGGCGGTGTCTCGAAAGGTTCATTGTACCTTTTTATAATATAGCTGGTCTTATAGGCGGCGAGACGCCTGCTTTCTAGGAACAAAATATCACTATAAAATAGGTCGATGAAATAACGTGATGGAGAATATTCCGTGCAAATAGCATAATTATACGATTAATGTTTTTTTAAAATCATATGAGATAATTAAAATTTGATATAATTATTCTTAAAGCGAGATACAAAATAAATGTTAAAGCGATATTGACTCTCATTTAAAGACCTTTGGAATAACTGTTAGACAAATTACGGCATAGATGATGATAACAGGATAATGACTCATTGAGATAATAGTTGTAGATATTCTCCCTCGCTATCGATCATCTGTTAATCGACGTTAAATGTCTATTAAGCAATTCAGGACAATTATGAAAGATATTCCTTCTCGTGTAGTGAATGCCGATAGGCTTTTCCTGATAGCTCTACTGTTTGCGAATACCTTCATTGAATCGCATCATCATTATGTTTTTTTCGAAATCATAAAATATAGGAGAGAATTAGAATTCGATATAATTATATTATTATATTTATTATTATAATTATATTATTATTTATTATTCGACATAATATTATTTTCTTAAAAATATTTTTAATATCATTTTAATGTTTACAAACCATTCAACGGATTATTGATATAAATTCTATTTTTATTGACACTTTATATTTCTTTTACTTAAAACTATAAATATTCATTACGCGGAACGTTTAACGTCAGTTCGCTTTTGCGCGTCTTAACGATGACATGGGAATCATTTCCTGGGAAGCACCTTGTGACGTGTCGTTGACTGTGACTACATAAAGATACTGCAAGCACGTTCGCACGATTTTACATGTTCGCGCGTGCGACGCTTTGGAAGGTATCGTACAACGCGCGTGTACAACACGCCGTGATTCACAACGCTTTTGTGCCGGCCGAGGTCTTACTGTTAGGAGCACAAACGCGCGGTCGAGGTTTATTAACCTCTAGCGGGGACAAGAACGACAGGATCGCGAATAATCCTAGCGGGGAATCTCTTCGCGCTTCTGCCGAGCAAAGAATTTCTCCACAGCTGTAAGAATGACACATTAGAAAGTCTAATAATTAACTTTGCTGCTTGATGAATTGTGGGAATTTGAATTACATTGCCTTGTAAAACGCATATGTGTCAGTTGCGTGCGATGCGTAATCCCTTTGGCAGCAAGATCATTAACAGCGAATCGTGTTATTTTCTATAGCACACGATGGTATAGGAAAATGAATTCATAAGATCTTTATTTTACTAATCAATAGTTAATCAATGTCATTTATTTAAACGGACAGATTTTATCTTAATTAGATTAAATCTCGCCATGCGTGTTCGCGTGCTTTCAATAATGCGCGTTCGTTTGCTCCAGCGGCCAGCATCGCAAATAGACATAAATTTCAGCAATGGTTTATCATGTAAGCCCGCCCCCAGAAACTAAATTAAGTTACACGGTTATGAGTAATGATTACTTGATCTCTCTCGTTGGTTACGTCTCATTGGTTTTCTTCCATATCGCGCCAGCATTACGCTCAACTCGTACGCATTAAGCTTTTTTTCCCCCCTCGAGCCCAATGAAACGTCTCGCAAACGCTCCAATTTATAAACGTAGAATGTGCAATGGCCATTTTCATTAGGCACATTCGTTCGTAGTGGCAAGCAACGGCGACGATAGAGAGAGGGGAATCAGGGGTCACGTAATATGACATCCTGCCTTCGCTTCATCTGCCGACCATATTACCATATGCGCCGCTTCTCGTCTTTTATAAGCGTGACTCTTCCTCTCGTACGCAGTGATGCTCAACGCATCATCGGGAGATCGTGGCCTGTTTTATACGCTCCAATTTAATCAAAAAGTATTGTCAATGTTGTTGATTGGAAGGAAATAAATAACGTAACAAATATTGAAAAAAGCTCTCTTAAATTTAACAATAAAAGGGAAGAACATAGGTAATAGAGAGCATATATGCTCTCTATTGCCTATGTTCTTCCATTTTATTGATAAATAACGTATTAATGAAATGATTGCTGATAAAAATTTTAATTTTTATATACTATCAATATTTTTCATTAATTTTCTTGTCAGATTCTTGACTCGTCATTACACAAGTAATCAAAGATAGATGAAATTAGTGACAACTTATCTTATTTTTTGAACATAAGTAACATTGAAAGAGAAAAACATTGGTCATTTCTATCTTCTAATTCGTGCCTATTTCTATTTTTTTCTTTTATTTCTCGATGAAAAAAGACTTCTTTCCACCAGTTTTAAAGAGTCTTTGACAAAACGCTCCGATAGTTGAATCGTCGCTCGCGTTTAGTTGTAACTGCCTGTTGGCAGACTCGTCTAATCTCTCGTATTATCCCTCGGGAGATATTGAAACAGGCCGTCGAGATAACCGGATGTCGTTAGATATGATTTTTACGAGTGTGCGTCGGGGAGTGCGCGTAAACAGCTCCGCAGCCTTATGGCACCCATGTGTAGACGAGATATATATTTTGTCGGCATCCCCCCTTAAAAAGTTCGTCCTGTTGAACCGAAGAAGTTTCTCGTAGAAACGCAGGCTCTTTCGAGCCTGCATTAAGAATGCGTAAAGATTAGAAAAGCCGGCGTTCAACAACTTAAGGATTTTATGACGCAATTAATCGGGTATGGAGCAGAAGAGCAAACTTTTGTATAAGTTTCTGGGATTTTTCTCGTTTTATTGACTCTGATTTTTTCTTAATGACTCATATTTCTCAGGAAATAAAGAAAAATTTAAGCATCATGGAACATATAAGATTCCTGTAAAAATTTCTATAGATATTACATAAGTATCTTACAAGGATGAGATTGGTTAATAATGAGGCTTTTTTTAATTCTTAATTTTCTTAAAGAATTTTCTGAAAGAATAAGAGCTATTATTAGCAAGATGCTCCGACTCTCTTTATACATGACATCGAAATTCGATGCGTCGCACGCGAGCAAACGTTGCACATACGGCGCGATGTTTGCTCAGACGAAATACGATTTTATTTAAACATCGGCGACTTTCTAACGGGCCGACTGTTCCGGGTCATACTGCGTGGCAGCTTCTTTTTCCAACATTAACCCAAATATCCTCCTAACGAGTCATCTCGTCTCGTCAACTCTGTTTGAGCAGTATATAGGTTCAACGAACTGTCATTAAAACGAGCACCCAGTTAGACTAGTGTAGTCGTTTGAGCAGATGTTCGACGAAAAACGAGCGATGAACAAACAGAAAGGGATTGAAGGGATGAAATAGTATTACCGCAACTGATATATGTATCTTGATGAATGATGATAGTCAAATGGACGAAATTGTATGACAAACGAAGGGGTAGTTTTTGCGGTTCTTTATTCTATCTACAGTACCTTTTTTTATTTTAATGTTAGTGGATCTTAAATATTTTCTAGATCAAAAAGTAATTAATAATAGAGTAAATTATTAATCATAGTAAAATTTAGTGATATCAAGTCATATCAATCATAGTAAATTAATCATATTAATAATTATAATAAAATTCATAATATTATTTCAAACTGCGATTTCTTAAATTTTCGTAGAAATTACAAAGAAAATTGTTCTCATTTAATTCACATTGTAAACTACGCAACTAGACAATGTTTTATTATCTATCATCGCTTTTGAGCTGCCAAAATGCTCCCCGTTGATCTTGGACACACAAGGGTGTACGCATCTCTCTTAAACGATACATTCATCTAAATCAGTAACGTGATATTGCATTAAAACGTTTTTTCTGGAGGGATGACAGTCATCAGATGCCATCTGTCATTTCAACTACTCGCGGTAAATCCAGGATTTTGATGCCGCGTCGAGTCTCGTATCTGAATAACGTGTATGTGTATGCACGACGATGTAAGAGGAGTCGGTGTATGTGTGTGGGAAAGCTGTTGAATGGCGTGAAATGAAATATCGCGTATAACGCACACATGCATTCTCTCTAAGCATCGGATATAAAGTATCGACGTTTGTCATAAGCGTCACGAAACATTGATGCACACGTAGGCTACACGATATACATTTAAATCGCTATTATTATAAATCGTAATTCACAAGACACCGCAAATTACGGTACCGAACGAAATACTTGTGCGATTAAAAATAAAGCTTGGAAAGTCCATTCCGCGAGAAGTTTATAAAAATCAAAGAACATTTTTTTATAATCATACATCTCTCTTAGAGATTACTGAAATTGGCAAAAGTGCGATTTGCTTTCCCTTTACTGGCTCCGACCATTCGCGGCGGTAAATTATACTTCTGCTTCTGCGCCGGAGATGATGCACTGACCGGAGTGATTTCTTTTTCTACTTTCAGCATGCGAACAACGTGCGGAAATATGCGGGCGATTACGTGGCCCGACGTCAGGCCCGCAAAATGCCGATGACACGTTCGATAACCTCCCTGGCGCTGCCGATGAGCCAGGTAGGTGACGTGCCCTACCTGCCCAACGCCAAAGCCGGCACCTTCTTCGCCCGCGACAACGTCTCAAACTTCATCGATTGGTGCCGCAACAATCTCGGGATCATCGAGTGCCTGCTCTTCGAGACCGAGGATCTGATAATGCGTAAGAACGAGCGACACGTGATATTATGCCTGCTGGAAGTGGCGCGTCGCGGCGCCAAGTTCGGGATGTTGGCGCCGTTGCTGGTGCAAATGGAGAGGCAGATCGATCGCGAGATCGCCGCCGAGAACAAGGCGGCGAATGGCACCGACAACGAGGAGAGCGACGACGAGTACGAGGAAGAGCCGTGTCTCATATACGGACCGCAGCCGCAGATCGTCACGAACGATCTCAAGACCCTCCACGAGTTGGTAAGTGAAAATGTATACGATCTTGTGTTGCTTAAGTTAGCTCTCTCGCGAGAAAGGATGCTCTTTTCGTCGCTGAAGGAAAATAAACGCGACGCAAAAGTTGACTCGTTGAAAAAAAACAAAATTTAAAAAAAAATGTTTAAGACTTAGTCAATATATCAATTTTTTTGAATTGGATTCTTGTCAAGGCACGGTTTTATAACGATCGCTTTGCGATGCTTCTCGATCATTTCTCGGTAGCTTTCTCAGCGATTCGCGGCGCCGATTTTGCGATGAGGCTCGACGATTAAATCTCGGCGGCTTCGAACGTATTCCAATGGCACGTTTCGTCGCGTATCATCGCCAACAGCGATCGTAAACGTGCCGCGGCTATGAAAATAACTCGCACCCTTCGGTGCACATCCGGGCATATTTATGGCGATCTCAACTTATATCCCGAGAATATCGCTCGATCGAGAATAGGAGAACGGATATGTGAGATACTTAAATCTAATGAACTGTCGATAGTTTTACTTATCGATATCAAGATCGATATTACAACCACGATATCGTGAAAGATAATTAGAAGACGAATAGTTTCTGCAATAATTAATAAAATTGCACAATAAACTTCATCAGTTTGTAATTTTGATACTGATTAATTTCAAGTTTAATAATACTTGTTACATTTCGAATGTTCGCGAATAAATTCATAATTCAAGTAATAATTACAAAGATCGCGCGATGATAAAATAAAGATTTTTAAAATTCCGAATTAAAAATAAGTCAACGATTCTTAAATCATCTCGGATCGTAAAGCGTCACAGCTGTTACTCCGTTTTTCTCTTCGCGCGCATGTACGCATCTTTGACAGGGAAAGGACCGACCGCTCCCACGGCATGCGGTGTGTGTGACCTATCCGGCATTTTATTATCGGCCGATTATTATAAATTAACGGGTAACGATCACGCGGCGCATGCGGCGCGTTAAATGTCCCGTCGTGCGCGCGAATCGCGCTGACGGCTCGGCGTCGCAATAATTTCTCTGCCGCGCCATTAATTGTACTGCCGCTGGCGGAGAATGCGACGCATCGGCTGACACTTCCCCCTTCTTCGATGATGTAAATGTAATATTCTCTATATTTCTCGGGCTCGTGGCGACATTTCATATCTTGCTTACATTTCCGTGCTAGACGTGACGATACGATAGAGCAATGATAGAACTAAGGAAGATCTCCTGCGGAGGAAGTTGGGGAAGCTTTGGCCTTCATCTTTGCAAACAGTTTCAATATTTATTTGGCTTGAGAAGTAATATAAAAAATATTTGAAGATATTAAATTTATGAAATATTTAATAATATTTAAATTTATTGTATACTCATTGCACTTATTTATTGCTCGTATAATTTGAATATTTAAATTATTATTTATTATTATTATTTTACTTATTATTTATTATTATTTAACAAGCCTAATAAATTATATTTAATTGTTGTCTATTAACTTTGCGTGATATCTTTGAAAGGCAGGTATGACAATTTGGTCTGACTAAGAGCGATCGGCTTACAAAAATATCGGATTATAGTCGACTCGCGAGTGTGTCTAACGGCGGCGATTACCAGCGGCGATACACGCGACCGGTATACGTGTAAGCGATGCTAAATCGCGGCATTTCACGAAGCGGAATAATTCCTTCCCCAGGGCCTACAGCTCGACGGCGAACGATAACGTCGCGGCGCGCGGCTTCTCGCTGTATAAGAAATTCCAGGACGCTTTCCCGCGAGGTCGAGGCTCGTGGTGTCTACGCTCGCGTAAGGTATACGAGCCTTTATCCGAAAGAAAGAAAATTTCGACATAATCGTAGAATGTTATAAATCTGCTCCTCGCGATAAGTCTTTTCTCCTTTCGCGGGAAAAGCCCATTCGCAAAGCTATTTCATATTTATATTCGTTTATGATGTAAAAGACTGCATGCTTCTCACGGATATAGCGGGATAAAAATGCAGGAAATAAGAATTAGTATGGAATATTAATATTTTGCAGCCAATTTCTAACTAAAAACGAGAACTTTCATAAAATTCATATTAAAATATAGATTTTTTATATTTGATGCAAAAATATTGATATTTTTGATAAATAATCATATCGTGTCACACTAGCTTAAAAATTCATACATTTAATCAAGATTTTCAATGATAAAATATTTTATTTTATTTATTCATCTTCAATGACAAAATATTTTATTTTATTTATTTATCTTATATATTTGTCCCCCCCCCCCTTTTATAACCCTTATTTTATCATTGAAAATCTTGATTAAAAGTATGAATTTTTAATCTAGTAACACGATATAATTATTTATCAAAAATATCAATATATATAATAATAATTGCTCTTATTAATATTATAACATTAATGTTTCGATTGCATATATGTAAGTTTATTATTATATTATACTGTATTTATAATATAATTCCTTTTTGGCGAAACATATCAAAGATAATATAATAAAATGATAATTCGCAACTGGCATCGTAAAAATGATATCCTGTTTCAAAAAAACAACAACATGATATCATTCTTGATACGGTATAATGTGATAATAAGCTTATGTAATCGAAACATTGATATTACAATATTGATAAAAGTAATTATTTGTAGCCTTCGGTATCAACCGGGAAGTATCGAGGCGAGAGCATCAATAACTTGCGGATTGTGTATCGTAATATCATTAACACCCCTAGTGGGTAGCGTAAGCGCTGCCAGCGTAGAACCGAGCGCGTTACCGCCGTAAATCTCGTGGGAGCGTCATTATAGCCGCCGTTCAAGCGTATTGTGCGTCGATTTTCGCGATCGGCCGCCGATATCGGCGGATAAATTTCACTTTGCGCCGCGGGGAGGCCGGACGATGCCGCTTGCCGGTGTCTCAAGTAGTAATATACCGTGAAAGCGTTGCCCACCGATTCCAATAAAGTAGAAGCGAGCTGAGGCGAGCCGAGAGAAGCCGCTTTGTCGGCTCCGTAATTAATGGGAATATTTATCGCACGAAAGTAGCAAAATCGGGTATCAGAATCAGGCCTGAACTTTTTCCATTGTTACTCAGGTAAAAGAATTTGGAATAGCAATGAAATTCCTTCTTGATTCGTGTAATGCAATTTTTAATTATCTAATTATCTAAAATATGTGGGAGATTAAAAGAGGATCATCTACGATTATCCTTAAACAGGACTTAGTGCGAAACTGCTCGAGACAATTTTAATCTTGTAATTTTCTTGAAATTACAAGGAGTTGATATTTTTACACGTGTCACGAGTCTTGTTAAAGTTAACCCTGAGCGCGGGATATGTTGAATCGTGATTGAATCTCGAGATGACGATTACGTCGTCTCGTGTCAAATGCCGAGGTGTTCAAAGCGGCGACTCGCCGCTTTATTGATAATTAATCTAATCTCTCTTTACGCCGTGAGATACGACGACACGAAGGCACATTCTCCGAAGCGTTTGCTTTTACATTAAAGCCGTTCCTCGCGGCGATGCGGCGGCGATTCAAGGAGAGAGAAGAGAACGAGTAAGAGTATAAGAGCGTGTTTTACGTCGGCTATCAATTAGATTCGCTCTTGTCACGCGCGTTATCTTATCGCAAGCGTTACGACTTTGTTAACCGCGTTTGATATAAACAATTCCGCGACGTTTTGCGTAATTGTATACAAGATGCGATTACCGCGAATTGTTGTGGCAATTGTGTAGCAAGGGTTGGTTAATACGAAATACTCATGTTAATTTTAACCCTGTTAATTTTAATAATAAATAATTACTTATCAAATAATTTTTACCTGTCATTGATAATAATTATTAATCGAACAATCTTAATATTTCGTAGTAAAATATAAATTTTCTTTAAATTTGTAAGTCTTTTCTATAACAGCATTGAAAAAGATTTCTGTTTTTCACAAAATTCACAATTCTTTATTTTGTGTTTATACATATGACAGTAATCAGCTGATAGCTCCATAGTTTCTTTATCGATAATAAATTTATACGAAAGTTTTATTTACGACATTACAATTTTATTCTTAATTTTATAGCATTTTCTCGTCATTCGACTATTCATGCGATCGTGCTATTTTCGTGATATTTCTGAGAAATAAAATTTCTAACTATATATAACGACACATTTGCGCGGAACTTTGGCTCATACGGGTGATTTCCTTGATTCACAATGACTCAGTGTCGGTAGGTTCCGCGTCCAACCGCGGTCCACGATAAGATAGCGCGTTTAACAAGGCTGAATCTAATCGATAGTCGAGGTAAACTGTGCAATTCTACCATGGTGCGGCACCACGCGTGTGTTTCGTTCCCTCGACGGGCGATTGCCGTAAATGGCGCAATGCGAAATCGTTGCCGCCAGCATGTTCAGTTATCGCGGAAGCGGATTAGCAACGCACGAGGACGAAATTTTTTTTATCTTTCCTTAAATTTATATAGTAATATTTTTTGTATATTGCAAAACAGTTGCCCGTGCCGTCCACGCACCGCAAATTCGCTGCTCGTGTCACTTTAATAAAGGTGCAATTTTAGCGCGCGTTTATTTTCTCCATCACTGCAATTTTGCACAGACAATATAGTTAATTTCCTTCGTTTATTTATGTATTTATCGAGCAAATATATTTAAAGTCACACACGTTTTACGCACGTTTGTTAATTAAATTCTTATTAATTTTAATTATAAAATATATATTCAACTTTGTTTTTTTATGTTTGTTATTTTCGATGAAGGATTTTATTTAACTTTCTGTTTTATGCAATCAAATGCTAAATTGTTGCGAATGAATACGAAAAATCGGAAGAAAATTGGAAGATTGTTCTATATATGCATGTAAAATAGTTATATTGCAAACGAATGCAATCGGGAGAAAAAAAATATTGAGGCGAATATTTGGCAAGTTCTCCATGGTAGATCTTATTCAGGGAAGTTACTTCTATCGTGCCAGACGGAGCTTCGCCTCGCGAGCGCCGAAAGCTTGT